TCAAGTAAATGGATGCGAAATATTGGGGGATCAGAGACACTCTGGAGCCTCCATAAAATAAAGGGTTGAGGGAGTAGAAAGTGCCTTAGCCCCCTCTATCCCCCCAGTGCCGGCGCCTGTCAAAATAATTTTGTTGTAACCTTTCCTTCTCCCCGTTAAAGTAGTATATTGTTTTCACATAAGCAATGGTAATAGTTTAAAACAATAATGAGTAGTAATAATGAACACTGTAATTAGTGGTATTGTTGTCCAAATACCTTGTATAAGGTATCCCGTAAGTAAAGGGAAATATTTAAAAGGTTGATAGTAGACATCAAGATCTACAAAAAAGTCCACATAAACAATTGGCTAATCTCCAGTAAAAAAAGTAGGAAATTTAAGATTTGTGTTATTTTATGTGAGTCGCGTTTTTGGTGAATATTAAGCGAAAACTTTAAAATTATTTTAATTAAGTAATTAAAAATTTCTCTAAATTAAACTAGACAAAATTTAGATTAAAATAAAGTAGAATTTGTCACCGTTAAAACTATTTGAAGAAGACTATTGAGCGAACAAACACAGCTAAATTCCGTTTAAAAAAGTCATAAATTATTTGTGATTTTTTTTTAAAATCATCCTTCAACTGTACTAAATTTACCCCACTTCTAGAAAAACTTTCTCATTTAATAAGGTTTAAGTCCATATTAAAAAAAATTAGGTTTATTAGGAAAAAGATTGAGATTCACCTCAAGTTGCGTAAAGAAATGACTTGATTTCATATCCAGTCTACCTTACTGTACCCGTGTTTTCAGCAAAAATAACTACAACCGACTGTTACAAAGCTTTTATTTATTATTTTTTCTTGTTATGGTATGTACTGTAATAAACATAATTGCTTAAAGACACATTTTATTTATAAAAATAAAAAAATTTAAAATAATGATTTTTAAAAAAATTGTTCATTTAAGTTGGTTATGAAATTGTGTTTTTCTCCCAAATATCAATTATAGGCATTGATATGTATTTATACGTATTGATATGTACTTAATGTTTCTAGCCCTAATATTTACGTTTTCATGAAAATAATTGAAGCGATCAGTAGATTTCTTCATTTTAAACTTAAATTTTAGTAAGAAAATTAAGGTTGCCACTGATAAATACTTATCAATTCCTATGAAGCAGGTTTGGGAGAAATCACAATTTCATAACCACTTTACGAGAATATATTTGAAAAATCATCATTTATAATTTTTTTAAATTTTTATTAGCAATGTTTAATTACTTAAATTAAATATTTCTAAGTTATCGCTTCCTATTCAACAAAAAATGTGACTCGCATAAAAAAACACAAATCTTAATTTCCTACTTTTCTGCTGGAATTTGGGCAATTGTTTTTATGTACTTTTTTTGTATACCTTGATATCTACTATCTACCTTTTAAATATTTCTCTCTACTTACAGGAAAACCTAATCGGTACCCAACGGTTGATCAGACAAAAAAAAAAAAAAAAAAAAAAAAAAAAGAAAGGAAAAATTCAGAAATTGAAAACCTTATGCAGACTTACATTTTCTAAAAAAATTATTTTAGGTATGTTTAATGAAAATTGTGTTCTCTTCCATGTTAATCTTATTTAATTATTTTTGTCCAACGTTTCTATAAAACGTATTTATTATCGTCAAATTCGTTGGATGATAAAGCCCTATTGAGATACCCCAGTGGAATGTCTCAATGGAAAACATCTTTTTAGAGAGAAAAATGTATTTTATTTTTAATTTAAAAAATATAATAATAAAAAATATTTTTAACTTACAGAATATAACAATAAGACGGCTGGAATACCTAGTAAGTTTTAAATTGTCTTTGATGATGGGTGAGTAACCCGAAACGGACAAAAGTAAATAAATAAGTTTAACATGGGTGAAAACAAATTTTCATTAAATATACCTAAAACTATTATAACTCTTCCGTACTAAATACTTTTAAATATCAAATAATATATAAAAACTTTATGAAAACCTCTAAACCACAACTTTGGTTTAGACATTTCACAAAATATAACAAATATATAAATAGTTATTTCACTATGTTAGTATTTTTGTTTTTATATTTTCCATCTAGTGTACAATAATCTCGCTGTTAGTTAAGTTAGATAATTGTTTCCCATGGTTTGTGAAATGTCTAAATGCACCTTCATGACGTAGGACCAATAGGTGACGATTTATTTTTAAAAAATAGATTTTCTTACTAGACAAACACTCTAAACATTCAATTAATTACAAAAGACTTATCAACATAACTATAATAAGACCTATATGGACATACGGAATTGAGCTTGGGGGCTCCGCCAAACTATCGAATTCTTATCGTATCCAATCCTTCCAATCCAAAATCCTCCGTAAAATTTTTAATGCTCCATACTTTGTCACAAATAAAACCATTCATAAAGACCTTAATGTACCATATGTTGCTGATCTAGCCCGAGATATCTATCCTTTCATGATAAACTCCAGTAAAATACAAAACCCCTTATTTCCACCCCTGCTTCTTCCTCGATTCCTGATAATCATCCTAGGTGTCTGAAAAGGAGATGGCCTCGTGAACTTCTTACCTACAATTATTTAGGGAGTGCTACCACTGAGTAGTATGTCTTCCAGCCTGTTCATGTCATTATTTATAATTTGAGCATATTTACTAGTTGTATTTTATACAGTTATAAATTTCATTAAATAAACATAAAAAAAAATAATAGATTTTCACACTTTTTGACCTTTGAGATTAAATAAGTTATAACAGGAGATTTCGTGAGCATTTTAGTCAACTTTTAATAAAGATTCATATAATTTTTAGCTATTTATCTTCCATTTCGAGATTTAGCTTTTTTTAACATCGTTCGACAAAATGTTGACAAAAATGTAAGTATAGTTCCAAGAGTTTACTAAACATTGTAGGAGTATAACTCCAATTTTTATGACATTCATCATTTATATCTTTAAATAAATTTGATTTAATTAGATAAATCAGTTTTATTAAATACGACATACGTATTTGACAAGATTAAAATCAGTAGCGAAGCTAAGGTTAAGTACGTTCAGAGAAAACCATTCAAAGGATAACTTTTTGGGAGGGGAGGCTTCAGCACGATAGCTTTTTTTTCATATATATAACAATAATTACATTGGGAAAAAAGAAAGAAATTAACTACCTATATGAAGTGGTATTTATGTGATTCTTGAAGTCCTATTAATTATAATTACACGAATAATAATACTTTAAGAGATAATTTTTTAATATTTTATACCATAAAAAATGGTTACATTTTACCATTTTGGGGCGAGGCATCAGCCCGAAAGCTGTTCTTTTTTTTCTTGTAAGTATTGTATATAGACATTTTAAAACTAGAGAGATTAATCTGAGTTAATTAAAGTATATAGAAGAGAGAGAATGATGGGATTGATTTTGGTGTTGATGTTATGACAGCTTGGCGTTGGAGTTGAAGACAAAGGCGTCAATGGGAAGAATACGTCTGGCGAACCGGAGTTCAATAGAGAATATTTAGATTATCTTCCTCGGTGGTATCTGCATCGAGACTAAGCCTCTCGGAATTAATCTACTTATATATTATCTTTAATTTTTAAGCTTTCAAACTAAATAATTTTGTTTAATTAATAAATTAGAAAAAAAATTAAAAATATATAAATGAACAGAAATGTCTTTAACAAGGCGATACCATAACGCTATATTTTACGAAATAGACAACTATAGAAGCAGGCAAGTGTCCCAAAAACCCTTGAAACATGTGGTCATGTAAGGGCTGCAACATGTCTCCATTGTTGAAACTAATGAGTTTCAAGTGTTCTTTCTTCAAGTACAAGTCTCACAGTTTCATTGGGTGTTTCAAGATAGTGTATAACTTTTCGCTCACTGATTCCTCATGACAATTAATTCCTCATGACTGAAGGCATGTTTTTTATTTTATTTAAAAATCTTAAATCGCCATACATTATTTTGTATTTAAGACTGAATTATGATAACTTTACAAAATTTAATTTAAAAGACAAATCGTTAAAAAATATTCCGTGATGATCAGCTCTGTTATCAATACATGATAAAGCGAGTTTGATTAACTTAAGAAAAAGCAGCCATAAAAGTTAGAAATTCTTATGCATTTACTAACCGAGTGATCTTTTTGGCAAGAATATATGTTCTTAATGACGTAGTCGCGGGATTAAAGTACTTAATGGAATCAACTACACAGATATTAAAATAAAGCCAGAACTAACAATAGGATATAACGTGAGAAATGGTGTCGAAGTAATAGTTGAATGAAGGATTTTAGTTTAATTGAAACCAGTTTTTTTATATATATTTTTAAATTTCGAGCTGTTCAGTCTTCTACAAATATTGAAGTAATTATGAATTTATTATTTTATAATCTTTCCAGTTTAAGGCCTCAGGTTCGAGTCAAACTAATGGCAGATAAATTATTTATTCTGTTTCGTCGGCCATGGATTTACCCTAGTACTTCCTTACAAAGTAATAAACCCAGACCCTCCTTTTTTATTTTACAGTACAATTTGTGTATTTAAATACGAATTTCTGTAAATTTAAAAAGTTTGATTTTTGTTACTTTTTCTCCCAACCCTTCAAACAGTAAGTTACCACATCAAAAACTTACAACTGATTTTATTAGCTGATATAATTTGGAGATAAGGACATTTTTATTTAAAAATATTATGTTACATTGCTGATATGCTATCGGTAAAATTAATAGATTAAATATTAGTTTTTACATTTTTTTGCCGATAATAGTAAACTTATAAAAATATTAATATTCTTTTAAAATACATTGTTAGCGAGTGTATTACAATGTTTTGTCAGTATTTACCTGATCCAAGTTGGGAATTTGGGTTTGAAATTTGCGCCAGATGGGCTGCGCACACTCGTTCCTGCACAGACAAGTCCGTCTAGCTCTGTCGTCTGTGTTACTCTCGCTCAGTTTTTATTCTTTAATTTATTTTCTTTTTCATAATTTTAACTTTAAGATGCACACATCTGAGATACAACAGACCAAAGATAGGATATATCAATCCACTCAATAATAGATAATTATAAGGTATTTATCCACGTATGCTGTTTACTTTTTTTTTTTTGGCAAGTTATTAACTATTTTGAATTACATTAAGCGTTGTCAAAATTCTCTAAATCACAATCATACATCAAAATAAAATATAGTTGACGGTTAAAATGATGTTTTTGAACTTATTTTAAAATTAAGTAATTGTGTTTATGTGTCTACATCTTAACCTGTCAGTCTTGCTAAACAAAAAAATTATTGATAATTCGCATTTTGAATCCTGGATACCTTCCTCAATTTCGTAATAATAATGGATGCTGTATCAATATTTGTCATTCTGTAATAGTCTTCTGATGTAGTAAAGCGCATATTAAGCAAGGAAGCTACCTATTGAATTTTAATGTACATCCTCTTATTTTTGGTGGATTGTCTTCACCTGATGGCTTCTGACTGTATATATTCCTTTTATTTTTAGGATAGATTACTAGGAAGACTAGGTGAAAAATTGATATTCGCAATGGGCTAGTGAAAATTATTTGATATTAATGTGATTGTTACTCTGGTGATAACAGCCAAGATGGGAATGTGTTGTAGTAAGCATAATCCAGAGACTGGTAGACCTCTTGGTGAGTACTTTAATTATTTAATTCTTAAATTTAAATAACCATTAAATAGGTTTATATTCCTCTGTTATTGATTAAATTGTCCTCCATTTCAGTGAGACATTATTAAATTTCAAATTCATCTTCTGATAAACTACCTTTCAAATCTCTATATTACCATTTTATGAAAATAATCTGTTTTTTACTAACAGGTTTATTTTAAAAGTTGTATAAAAGAAAGTATGTTCGATAAAATTGCAAATCTATTCAATTCACGTTAATTTAAGTTATTTAAACTGATCTATTATGAATTATAGATAATATGATGTATTACTGTTGTTAAACCATATACAACTAAATAAAAACCTATAGACAAGTTTTACACCTTTTCCTAATCTTATTTTATTTATTAATTATTAACTTTATAATGATATTAAACTTGTTAGTTTGTATTATCATGAACGATACTATTTTTAACTTCATTTATTTACCTATTCATGTCAGCGTATAAACAATCTTTGGATCACTAACCACAATGATGCATATAATTTTGGCATATCAAACACGATTTATTTAATATTAGTGTAATTATCTTCTGCATAAGAGATCATAGAAAATGTGAATTTTATCTATATCACTTTTATTTGTTCCGAAGTAATTTTATATTATTAAGTAATTACTTGTCATTGTCAAAAATTCTCAATGTGTTATGCGTGTTAAATAAAAAAAAAAAAATAATGGATTACATTTCAAAATTGTAGTAGAACTAAAAAAAGTTAAGGTATTTCATTCATGCTTATGACTCAACTTATCTATTAATAGTTCATAAGAAAAGTGAATAAATGATAAAATCGTAACCAAGTCAAAACTCCTAAATTATTATCCTCTAACTTAAAATTTAAATGAATTTCTACTTGAAGAAATGGCTATTTATTTCTAATTAGTAAACAATTCTTTAAAGTATAAAAATAGGAAAAAATTGTTTTAACTATTTTGTTTATTCTTCATTTGTGATTAGCATGCTTTTTAATATATATCAAATTATAGGTTTGATATGAAATATGAATTGGTATATTGGCTATTATACCCATGCTTTAAGCCACAAAAATAAAAAAATTATGTTTATAACTATAAGTTGGAATAAACTTTCTTTACATATTTTAATTCAAGATGTAATCACCATATTTATTTTAAACAAATGTAAGACTGTTCTATGATAATCTGTTTCAATTTATCTTATAAGCAGTAATGCAAATAATTAGTAATCCCAATAATTATTGGGAATACTTCTAACTTAAGTCCCTTTTTATGGAAACCATAATATGAATTAAAAACAAATTGTCTTCATTTATGAACTTACTAATTTGTTTTATGAAATCTTTTAGTCAAGTTGTCAAATAATTTAATTTGTTAAAGCTATAGTTAAATTATATTGAAATCAGTAAATTTATTCTAAATGAATTTAAAGTATTGCCTTTGTTAATTGTAAACATTGTTAAGGTTACCAATTCCTCTTAGAACTCCAATGACCCCTGAAGAACTACTTCAGTTGCATTGTGCATGGTATTGACAAAAACAATACAAGATAATACATTGATATCAACCAAACAGTTATTGATAATGGTTTGTCATGTTCTGAATGTTACTCTATCATTTTATAAGAATTTCACTCTGTTGATATCAATTATTTCTAAATAGTAGTTATAATTGTCTTGATAACCCAAGAAATTCTGCGTGGCTAAAGTTATACACTTAATTTTATCAGTAATGTAAATTAACATGAAATAGAATGAAAAATATATTAATAATTAAGGAAGATTTAAATTTAAACTTAAAAATTAATTGTTTTTAGTTTATTTATCAAACACTTCTGTTTAATTAATTTATAGATATCTATTTAGTTAGATTATTCAACAGTTTCTATGGGTGCACTGTAGTGTGTAATATTCTTTTTCCATTGTTCTATCTACTGAACTTTGACCTTTCAAGGTCAGCCGGTGGTCAACTTTGTTTCTTAAGGAGTATTATTCTTTTTGGATTTGTTTGAATATTTTGGTATAATTCATGTTTGAAATTAATTTATCTTTTTATATTATAAATAAAGTAAAAATATTGTTATTTTTAATAAGATAGGTATATCATTGGTCATCTTATTGTAATGTAATTTTAAAAAAATATAGATAAATTTTATTTGTTGAATAATTTTGTATGTTTTTAGGCTGATTCCTTTGTTTAAAAAAAAATACAAATTAAGCATTCCAATTAATTTTGCTTTCCAATTAATATTAATTAGTTGATCCTTGATTCCCTTCTTTATTTTAATGTTTCTAGTTATAAAATAACACACTAAGTATTTTTATCCCTTCTCTTTAACCTTTTAAATTTAAGTGCATTTTTATTTTTTTATTTTGTCCTTAAATGTTTCTTCTGAAAATTATGTATTATTGAAGTCATGAAAGGTCCATTTTACCAAGATTTTGCATGTTTTAAAGTTGTGACTATATTAACACTAATTTTGAATACAAAAGATTTTTTATTAAATCAAATATCAAGCTCCTCCTTATTATTTAATCTATCACAATAATAAAAATTTTTAGTTTGTTACATTTTTATTCTCAGTTGAATGTATGTTCATTATTAAAATTTTCAGTACTACTTCATTCAGTTTTCTATTCTTCATGTGGTCAATATGGGAATGTGTTTCTTGTAAAGTCATTAAAGGATGTAATTATTGTATGTAAATTATTGCTTACATGTTGGACATATCAATTGAACATATTTTTAAAGGAATAAATTATATTTGAAGCACTTAGTTGCAAAAGTATGCCTGAATAGAAATACCGATTCTTTGATAAATATGTATGTTTTCCCAATCTAGTATACCATGGCAAAGTTGGTGGCGAGACAGGCAGCGCTGAGCCAAGGTACACACCAGATCCTAACCGACCCTGCCAGGTTAAAAGGCCTGGAGTGGATATCATTCGAGCTCCGTCGACTCCATGTAAGTCATATCGTTACATTAATGTTAATATTGTCAAAAGATAAACTGGTACCTCAGTTAACCATTGTTTAGTTATCAATATTTGTTGTGCTTTCACTTCAAATTAACCAAAAACTTTTCCTGTTTATTTTTGCTGCATTTCTTGCAAAAAAATTTGCAGACATGATTTCACATGTATTTTCCTACCTTTGAAACACACAGTAAATATATAATAAATTATTTATATAATAGTTGAAAGATACTTTCAAAATGTTTTTATGATTTGGAAAAGATCTTCTGAGAATTAGAAAATAACTTATAAAGAAAGACCTTAGCGTATTGGTGGATATAGGGGCTTATATTATAGAGACTCAACTTTATCATCATCAAATTTTAAGACTAATAAAATAAATTTATTATAATTGTAAAAAATTAATATCAGATGTTGATGAGGTCGGGTATAGCAATTTTTTAAATTAAATTAATGAAATGAAATTACTATTTCAAGATATTAGTATTACCAAGGCTTGAAACTGATTTTATATTATATATTTTTTTTTCAGTTGAAGACTGGAAGTGGGAAAAATGTAAGTAGCAGAAAGAATAATTATTATATCAATTCCATTAACAGCGTTATTATTACGCATCTTTTGTTTTGATATTTGAGCTTTGTAATTTTTTTTTTTAAAGAAATATTCAAATGTTTTAAAACTGTTATTAGTCATTTTATTTATGGACAATTAATTGTAGGTTGGTTTTATGTAGTGTTTTGGATTTATCATAGATTTTAAGGTAAGAGGAAAATGAAAGAATTGTTTAGAAGCCAAGTGATATGTTTTAATCAAGATTTTATTAATATTATGCTGAAAAATTGGCATTTCACACGATAAAATGACTAATATTTACTGATATACGGTAGAATTTTTGGGCGATAAATTGCAGGATTATTATGCCCGATGTATGTATATATATAAAATAATATTAAATATTCTACCATACAGATATGCAATTGTTTTTTAACTTTAGTCGGAGCTGAGAGCAATGCCATCGTCAGTCGTGCCAGCAGTTCAGCAACTAGGAAAGTTGTTGTTGCAGTTTACAGCTACCAGTCAAGGGAAGCTTCCGACGTCTCCTTTCTTAAAGGGGACCGTATGGAGGTCCTTGATGACAGGTATGTTTTCTTCTTTTACACTTATTAGTTAATTGTTGATTAGGAGAAGAGAGGGCGTAAATGAAATAGATTTTATTTTCCTACTACCGCCCTTTTGCCTTTTGGGTTCTTAAATATCTCTTCCCTCTCTCATTTTCCACTGGATTTAAGTATGTTTCAAAATTTTATTTGTGAATAACAAAAAATAAAAATTTCCTTTTTTACTTTAAATGATTGATGTTTAAACATTTTTAATGTGACAAGAAAGAGTAATTTACATAGAAGTCTCATGATTAATATGTTGTATTTAAACAATATTCTATCTTTCATGAATTGTTATTTTAAATATATTAGCTTATTAATGAATTCATTAATATAGTTCATTAAGTCTGTGATTTATTTTCACATATTTTATTAAATTTTTAGTGAAGCTGATTGGTGGAAAGTGAGGCATTTAAGGACTGGAGATGAAGGTCTCATTCCATGGAACTTCGTGGCTCCTGAAAAATCAGTGGAATCTGAAGAGTAAGTTGAAAAAAATTGTTTAAAGTTAAATTTTTGAAATGTTTCAACACATAAGAAGAATTGGTTTAATTATGAAAATATTTTGGAGATTGTTAATCTATTAAGTAGCATTCACAATGGGTGCGCAGAACCGCACCAATAAAACGGGATATTCTATGGTGTACGAAAGTGCTCAGAATTGAGGTCAACTCTTCGATTTACCAATATAAAATTTCAAAAGTATTCTGTCAATTATTAATTATAGCCAATACAGTCAAAATCAGAACTTTAGATTTGATCAAAACAAAATTTAAAAAAGTAAAAACTTAAGTAAAGTAATCCATTTTACATATTTATTATCTACAAAGTAATTTTACTCAATTTCTTTTTAATATTATCTTTAAGTTTTTCTATTTAGCGTATTAGCGGCTCTTGGTTTAACATATTCAAAGTATTACAAGATTACTGTTTGCCATCCAAACCACTTGTGTGGTTCCGAGCTGCCAACTTTGGTTTGGTGCATGAGATTTTGTAAACTTTTTAATAATCATAAGAGAAAAAGGAAGACTTTAGCCAAGTTTCTTTTACATTTGTTCATAAGTTCAGGCACTACATTCTATACAACACAGGCCGCCATCTTCAATGGAAAGTATTTTTTGGTGATGTCTGTTCTATACATAAATTTAAAAGGCATCGGGGAGAAGAGTTTAGCCAAGTTTCATTGAAATTGGTATATTCGTCTAGGTGATACAGCCTATATCTACATAGGTTTTTCAGCCCCCATATTGAAAAGAAAGGGTTGATGTTAATGTCAAGGTAGGAGGATGATTGTCGAGTGACCTCTGATTTTGATTCCAAATCTCAATAATATCCGTCCAGTAATCTCAGAGAAAAACCGCAGACAGTGGATGAACAAACTTTTTATTATCGAGTTCTACTTATTGTGAAACGTAAAAACCTCAAACTTTGTGGGGGCAGGGTTGACTTTTTGAATTTTTCGGTCTATTACAATGGTTCATTATTAAAAATAATGAACCAAAATGAGATGGCCTTTCTTTTTTATTATAATAATATGTTTTTTTTTTTCATATTTACATTAAAAAGTTCTTATCAGTTTGTTACTACTAACACTTAAGGGATTGATAAAATTATTTTAGGTAACTTTTAACTTTAAAAATTAATGATGCTTCAAAAAACCATTTATTAAAAGTTATAAAGAAAATTTAAGTTTAATTAAAAGTCAATTAGTACAATTTTTAAATGGATAATGATATTGAATATGGGCTGTTAAGTTTTTGATATTTTATTCTATCCATTATAGCTGGTACTTCGGAAAAGTCTCCCGTAAGGAAGCAGAAAAACTGTTGATGAGTGACGAAGAGTCACGAGGTACCTTCCTTGTTCGAGATTCCGAGCATAATCCTCACGGCTACTCAGTTTCCGTTAAGGACTGGGATGCCACCCGAGGATATCATGTGAAGCATTACAAAGTTAAAGGTTGCGAAGGAGGATTCTACATTGCCACAGGACAATCAGCACCGACCTTACAAGCCTTGGTTGCTATGTACACAAGTATGTAATAGACATTCAAATATTTTTCATTTTCAAAGAATTAAAAAAATTCATGTTTGAGATTGATTTTCCCTTTAATTAAACTATTTTTAATATATTGTCTAAATACATTTTTGTGAATTTCGACCTATTGATAAAAAAAGCACAGTAAGTGCACTAAAATGACACAAATCCTTTCATATATCAAATATAGTTAAAATAAACAAACTTACAATTTCCTAACATCACTTAATGAATTTTTGCAATAAACTGACACTATTATAATCAGAGCTGATATTAGCTATATCCATAATTTCTTAATTTTATTACCAATTCTATTTGTTTAGGATTTATTCTGAACATATTTGAGATGGTCAAGTAAAATAATAATAATAAATTTATTTATTCTGAGATTAGTCCCATTAGAACAACATTATAGGAAATCAATTGTAGACTTTATTGTAAAAAAAAAAAATTAAAAACATATATTAATTATTAGATAACTTCTAGTTTTAATTAATGTAAAAAAAATAGAAATAATTATAAAAGAATAAATAATGTACATATTTTTAATATGAAAATAAGCAGACTCTGTTTACAATACTTATGTTTTTCGCTTAAATAATGAAATTTTAAATTGTCAAGATTAACAGTTACAACCTCTATGTACTAGTTCTTTGATTTACTTGAACAAATGTTTTTTTGTTTATTTTTTTCTGTTGGGATCATTCCAGTTAGCACATAGCTCTATCGCGTCTTTGTTGATGCAATCTATCTATCTGTTTCTTGTCCTTCCATGTGGTCTTTTGCCTACTATTGAGATATCGATTGTTGTGTAACAAATGTTTTATTAAATATATTTTATTTTATGCTGTTGTAGAGAACGCACTTGGCTTGTGCCATGTTTTGACCAAGCCTTGCCCTCGGCCGAAGCCGCAAATCTGGGACCTGGCTCCTCAACTTAGGGACCATTGGGAAATAGACAGGAGTGAGATAAGGCTTATTTCTAAACTTGGACAAGGCAACTTCGGTGAAGTTTGGTATGGTAAGTTTTCACTATTCATACTTCCATAAAATATTAAATTATATAAAAAAATATACTGGAAAAAATATACATATGTTTTCTTGATGAGACTATATTCAATAAATAGACGTCTTCCTATTTATTATTTCTTGCTACTGGTTTCGGTACTTAATCAAACTTTCGTCAAGCTTAATTATGATGGTTCTGCTCTCCAGAGCCCTCAATTTTTATCTAAATTGATGATTTTTTTAAATTAAACGAACTGTAAACTAATGGTCTATATGTGTTAACTTTTCAGTTATAGAGATGTAGTCATTATTTCAACATGATAAAACCTAAAAATGAGTTTGCAAAATTATTTAACACATACTTGTCTGCATGACAAAAATTTGTCATTTTGCAAACCATCACCAGTAGCCAAATTATGAAAATCCGTCATTTATATATCACAGAAAATGTTCGTTTAATTCTAATTAAATTAAATTCTAATTTTTATCATACCAAGGTAAAGAGATGCTCGAATTTTGTGAATGAAGGTGCTAAAATTTACCGGACGTGTAAAAATCTACCAGACGAATATGTGTTCATATTTATAAACACTATACCATATAGCATATTGAGTTTACCTCAAGGATTGAAAATTTTTAAAAATGTTTTATTTAAACAATTTCTTGGAAACTTTTTAGGATAAAAAGTTTTTTAAATAAAACTTAAAAAGTCTTAAAGTTACAGGTTTATGAAATAAATTGTATTGCATTAGGAAATTTTCCTTTTCTTACCTTTAACAGCTTGAAATCTGGTAGGAGTACCATCAAGCAAAATATAGCCTAAACTTGTAATTATCATTACACAAAAAGCTCAATCTTGGTCTTGCCAAAGGAATGAGAGTTGTGTGGTTTATAATCTATTAAATTAATTATTTCAACGATTTCAAGGGTATAAAACTAATGAAGTAACAGTTTTAGATTTATTATGTTTTAAAATTTATCTAGCCAAATATTTATACGAAATGTTGACATGAGGCTTACTAGAAAATTGACACAAAGTACACGTTTTTGGAAAAATCACCTAGGTACTTATAAAATTAGTTCTGTTTTAAAAAATTGAGTTTAGTTGTTTATTATATTTCAGGTAAATGGAGAGATACTATAGAAGTGGCTGTGAAAACATTGAGGCAGGGAACAATGTCAACCGGTGCTTTTCTACAGGAAGCTGCAATAATGAAAAAATTCCGCCACGATAGGCTGGTCGCTCTTTATGCTGTCTGCTCTAAACAGGAGCCCATTTACATTGTTACAGAGTACATGAGGCATGGCTCTCTTCTGGAGTTCCTTAGGAATGGAAAGGGGAAAGACTTGTCCACTCAAGATTTGATCTACATTGCAGCGCAGGTGATGGATCATTTATTGATAAATTATTGTCTTCTCAAGATTTGCTTTTTTTTAATGGTCTTTTTAAAATCATTCTGTTTGGTCTTTAAGAAACATTTCTCTATTTTCAGGTTGCTAGTGGCATGGAATATCTTGAGATGAAACAGCTAATCCACAGAGATTTAGCTGCCAGAAACGTCCTTATAGGTGATAATAATACAGCCAAAATATGCGATTTTGGATTGGCTCGAGTTATAGAGGATGATGAATACTGCCCCCGTCAAGGTCTGTGTCCATTGAAATTTGATTTTGGTATGATAATTTTCATATTTGATTCATTCAGGAATCAATTTAATTTATTGTCTTCATACAATAGGATCAAGATTTCCTGTGAAGTGGACGGCACCAGAGGCAATTGTCTATGGCAGATTTTCCATCAAGTCTGATGTGTGGTCTTACGGAATACTTCTCATGGAACTTTTCACATACGGACAAGTTCCTTATCCTGGTAAATATATTATTTAACTTGAAAGCTTATTGTTATTGTTTGCCAGGTTAGTTCATAGTTCTTAATATGATTATTTATGAATTATTCTTCATGTTGAATACATAATCAGTTCATTATTCCGATTTTGATTTTTTATTTTCTAATTTTTTTCAAGTCATTTTGTAGTTTTTCAAACTAAACTAAATGGAAAAATTTTAATTGGAATAAAATTGGGTTACTAAAGTTACCAACTTCTTTTCAATAAAATAACTTTATTAAAAAAAAAAAACTTCATATTTTTGTGTCACATCTTTATATTTCATAGCTGTTATTAGACCTTTCACTAAGTCAAACTTTTATTTCACACTTAATGATTTTCATTTTGGGAGCCACGATCTCTGCAAGAAAGACAAAGTTAAACTGAAATAAAAATGAAGATTTCATTCTATATTTGGTAAAAGTTTCATAGAATCTCAAACAAGGGTCACTCCCTTGGGTTGGGTACAGCAATTGCTTCTCCTTAAATAAGGTCCTCTATGGATTTCCATTATTTATTGAAATACATTATTTTTATTTAATTACTACCTCATTTTATGAACTTAACATAAAATAAGAGCCATTTGTGTTGACACTTACATTTTATATTTTTTTAAAATGTGATTTCTTGAAATTATATTATTCAATAAATGAAATATTTTTTAAATAAAAATTCAAGTCCCAAAAAAGTTTGATAGAATTTTTTAATATGTGGGAGTTGGATATGCAGAAATTCTAATATAGTTTGTGCTGTGTATATGTAGTTATTTATGGTATAGGATTAAGAAAAAAAATTTCATATAAAAAATATACAGAAAAATTATTATTCTACATTGACGAGAATGAATATTTATGGATATGTTTCAAACAAATTTTCACCAATAAAACTACTTTGGTTTTCTGGTTCCTAGCATACTATTCACCCATTTTTCAGCATAAGTCCTAGCATACTGTATCAATTTCAATTTTAGTAAGCTGACTAGTACAGATAAGGATCCATTTAAGCTGTTGCTAGCTCGGTACACCTGGTTATCTGCTGCATATTAAATCAATAGATCAAAATTACGATATATAGCCCTGATTTTTATTTCCTTTTTTAATTTTGTTTATGAAATGTAATAAATATCCTTGGCCAATTTATATCATAATCTTCATGCTAGATGTACAGTTTGTGTATTATTGGTGCTTTTTAGTTAAGGATTACGTTTTATTTTTTTATTTTTTTGAGTTTTTTTAATCATGTGTTCTTTTAATTAATATGTGAATTATTCACATTTTTAGGCATGCATGGTCGTGAAGTGATTGAACAAGTGGAGCGAGGATATCGAATGCCGAAACCAACAACTCATCCATTGCCAGATCCAATTTATCGGCTGATGCTTCAGTGCTGGGAAGCAGAGCCTGAGAAGAGACCGACATTTGAGTTCATCAACTCCTACCTTGAAGACTTCAACATCTCCTCTGAGGTGCCCTATAGGGATGTTTCAGATTAGGTCAGCTTGTCGCCAATGAGAGGCAGTTATGGACGTTTCCCGCCTTCCATACCCAAGCGACTTCCATGTTGGGAGGTACCATCCAATCAAAATAGATACATAATAAATCGGATTAAATGTTGACACTGCAGAAATCCTCTTGACTATAGTTTTCATGAGGGTTTGTATTGTCGAAGGTTCAGCTTATTTTTGCTTTGTTGATAATCATTTGACAAAATTAGTTCCTCTACAATTGATAATGAGAATATTATAATCTATAATTCACAACATTGGATTAGGCCATGCTTTGATATTATCTACAAAACATTATTTCCACACATCATTTTACATCAGGATAATACTTCTAAATCAATCTTATTTGGACTTTTTGATGTGTTCAAATAATATTGAATGTTAAGTAAATCTTTTTAGGTTGAATATAGATCTGTATTTGGAGACAGTATCTCGATTATTTGTATTTCTATTGATGTCATTGGACAGGAATTTGAAGAGGTTTACCTTTTGATGATCTCTTATTTATTATTTAAGATGTTAATTTTCTTCCGTCGGCATTAATTGGATCCCTTCAATGTATTCCAGTGGCCTTTTAATAATATTATATTTAGCTTAAGTTCCGTGTTTCAGCCTACTCGTTTTCCTCTTTTTTTAAAATAAGATATATAACTGAAAATTTCCTATATATTTATTATTTTTTATAATTGATGAACTAGGATTAGCCATTTGTATTATTGTAGATAAAATTTTTATATGTTCTTCCTTTGAGATCTTCACAACATGACATGAGAACATTCTGCTAGAATCTCATTTTGAATTTAAGCTGTCTAATTTCTTCTGATATCTTCATTCGTTTTGAGATGATAATATGCTTGACAAATCATGTTAATGTTATTTAGATGACTTTCACTTTGATTGATTGCGAAGAATTATTTTGTGATATTTTTGAAATATGGTTGAGGCGAGCCTTACTTTTCAAATTTGCATTAATATTTTATTTAAATTAAAAACATATAAGAATTATTGTGAACTGTTGGATTTATTAATTGACAATATATAATGCAATTGATAAATTTTGATTAAATTAATAACTTCAAGTATTTCTCCAGTGACCTGTCAATTGCATTCCTTATCAGTGAAATGGGCCTATATAAATATAAAGATCTGTAAAACACTATTATAGGAATCAAAATTTTATTTATTGAATATATATGAAAAATGTACCTAACTTTTTGATATATTTCTAGTGTTTTAAAACTTCCTTAAACCTAACCTTACATTTTTTAGTGGTAAGTTTAATTATTTTATTTGTTTGTAGGCCTATCTCTTCCCAACTTTACTTGGCCCATCTCCAAAAACCATCAGATTCATTAAATCACTCCGCTTTGTTTTTCTTTTTTATATCAGAACTATTAAATCAGACTAAACATATTAATGTGTTATATTACTGTAAAATGAGACATTGGTTTAAAAATCAATACAAATATTTCACTTAATAATCTTCACATAAAACCAGTGCAAACATTTTTCATGTTTTTTTTTTTTTTTTTTATAACTTGAAACTTAAAACTCAATAACAGAGCCACAGTAAGCAACTCTTATCATATCTTACTATGCGATGACAGTGAACCCTAGCGGCTTGTTTGTGAAATATATTACTGGCCTGTCTTTGTGATCCATCTCAATTCAAAATAGCTCTATAATTTTTACAAGATAATATTAATACTTTAAACTATTTATATTTTAATGCTTTTTCAAGAGTTTAATTTAATCGAGACTCTGATAAAAATATAATTTTGTTCTCTTATGAACTAATTGCTGTATGATTAATACCTGTAAGATTAGTTACTAAAGATTATGGTAATTATCAATTGTGATGTACTATATTTTTATTTTTATGATATATATTTTTTTTTAGGAAAGCGGAATTATTACCAATGTATATCACTTTAATGGTATAATTTTATGGTCAATATAAAAAGAAAAAAATTCTAATTGATGAATTTAATTTTTTTTTTATAATGATCATTTTATGTCTTTTACAAGCATAAAAGATACTTAATGCATGCATGGAATGATTCCGAGTGCTGCCTTGTACTTAGTATTTGAAGAGATTTGTTTAATGGCCACTCGTATAACAGTGGGTAGACGAGAATACTCATTTCTTTTTAGGTATGAAAACTGTCTATGCTACAGATCCTATACCTATTTGATAATTGTAAAGGTGCTGTTGTATGTATGTGTAATGCGTATCGTGTGTATGTTGTACAAATGAACTTTTTATTTAGAATATAGAAATAATCAACAAATAGCTATATATATATATCTATATTGTTTTTGAAAGTGGAAATGATACAAATACAAGTGAAACTATATATTTTTTTTTATTTTGTATAGATATAGAGGGAATTCTATGTTCTTTCTCGATTACAAAGAAAGTATTTCTATCATAAATAAGGGTGTTACTTATTTTCTTACAGTTTTCAGATACCCTTAATAAAAATTTCCGATGACTCAAATGAAGTTCTCATGTAAACCTATCTACTGTTTTTTTTTTTTTTTTGTGTTATGATTTTTATTTTTGGCATACATTTTCCTTGTGTGATGCATTTATTATCTTAATATATTTTTTATAAATTAATTGAGGTACTATCATGGATGAACATATTGGGAACACGATCTAAAATAAATGAATTGCTGTCAATAATTTCAAGGCCAAAAAGACTGATTTACGATTCATATAAATTTGTATAGGTACAGACAGTGTAACTCAATTATTTATTAATCATCTTGTGGTTCTAGTGGGTGATTGAATATGATCTGTACCATGCTCTGGCATTATAAAAAAAAAGAATATATTTTGTCTAATGAAAATTTTGAATTGTTCAATAAATGTTAATTATAAAGCTCATCAATATAGTGGTGATATAATGGTAATGTTTTTATATATCGCTATTGTCCAAAATGAATAATGAACTAGTATACTTACAACTTTAAGGGTCATAGCACAAATGATCATTAATTATTAAATCATCAACCCTTTAGCTCTCAACCATCCCCCCTTCCTATGATCTTACGAACTATTCATCATGATCCTAATGTATTTAATTGTCGTATACATCAGATGTTGTGTGGAGAAAATATCAACATTTTCATATTTCTAATAATACCACTTATTTTCCTTAAAAGAGTTTTAAAAAAATAATAATTACTATATATTCTTTTACAACAACAATCATCGATTTAAAAGAAGTTTAGAAATATTTTGCTTTATATTAATTTAAAATTTTATTTCAATTCTCGAATAAATAAAAATTATAAGATATTATGCTGCATTCATTATAAGAGCTCCTAAAGTAATGTCAGTTTATTCCCACATTTTATTGAAGGTAATTTTATTTCTGTGCTAGGAATTTCTCTGTGCATTAAATTATTAGAAGGAATATAAACCAGTATACTGAGTACTTCAAAACTAGGTTATTAGTAAAATCACAATTTTTATAATAAATATTTTTCTTGTCATATTTTTAATTTGTGTTTGGATCAGACCTGGGCAAAAATTATTTTAATCATTGCATCTTTTGTGTTTTTATAATACAGTGCATTCAATTACAATAAATAAATAAGCATTCAATTACCGAGTGTTTAAATACGAAATACTAAAAGTATTTATATTTAATTACAAAAAACAAATACTAAATACTCCTGTAGTTTATCTGATTCCTTAAAAAATCACTTTTGTTATTTTTTTGCCAGGAAAGGCGTTTTGTGATGAGACAGAGGATGAAATACTTTTAACAAAACTATTTGAAAAAATTAATTTTATCTAATTAATATTATTTCTGAATCATTTTTATACAATGTGGCCTTATTGATATCGAACCCTTCCTTTCTTTTTTTGTTAAAAAATACTTGTAAATGAGGCGTTTGGTTTCAAAATTGGTTACATTTATTTTTAAAACATTTTCAGCAAAATATTTTTATCATTTTTCATTATTTTTGTAACAAATCACTTTAAACAAAAATTATTGACAACTTTTTATGATCTCCTTGTATTAAATCCCATTTAATATAAAAAATATATTAATTTAACCTCAATATCGATATCAAAAAATATCAATACCTGGTTAATTTATAGTTGAAAAAAAAAAAAAAAGATGTCTTTCAATACAAATCACTTTATATATTAATTTTAGAAATTTTCATTGATATCTTGAACTTTTCAAACATCCATATTAGTATATATATGTATAATTCATATATGTATGATGCTGCTCATCTTGGGTAGGTAACATTGTACAGTCTATGACCTCTCTAGAATTCCAGGGTATCTATTACTTTTTAATCTTGCCCATTTCTGGCATTAAAAACTTATGAAAAAGAATTTTTTTTTTTAAATGGTTGTTACGGGTTTTGAAACTAAATGTCTCAAAAATATTATTATAGGAAATAATGATATCCTCCCCTCCCTCCCCACAAACTATCTGTCTGTAGACCATCTTTACTTTACACAATATGCTTTTCCATCCTTCTAATGATGATATCTTGGTGTCCTGCATAATTTGTTTAGGGCTGAACAATTTTATGGCAAAAGATAATCTTATAGTGTCAGTTATAATTTAACATCACCGACTTTGAAAAACTTAAAAATTAAATTTTTATAGATGAGTATCCTGATGAAAGCAATTGTAAAAAGAATCTATTCAATTTGGTAATTTATGTTTTGCTTCTTAGAAAGGGAATACAAATACAATTTTTGCAGTTGTACTTAAAATAAAAAGTTGCAATCCATGTTTATTTTGCTTCTCAAATTTATAACAATATTTAATTTATTTATTTATTATTATTTTTTTTTAATATTTCATTTGAAATGCTGCCTAAGCCTGGTCTGGATTTCATTTTTAAATCTAATCCTGTATTTTCTTGACTGGTTAAGCCTAACTTAAAATTTTGTTCCTGAGGTCTTTACCAGTTCCGTGATCGATCACTGCCAGTATTATCTTTATTATATGCAATCATTAATAACGCTGTAATAATGCTTTTTTTTGCAATTCAGTGATTAAATTGTTTCAATTCAGTATTATAAATTATTAATGTTGCCATATGATTTTACTGATGAAAAGTAATTTATCTTGTTGAAGATATTGTATAACATTTACTTTCTTATCTGAATCAACCATTCATACTCTGCTTTCACTCTTGGGAAAATAAATTATTTAAGAACAATTAAATAAGTAAAACTATTTTTAACTTCCATTGTAAGGTATAACTTGCGGTACATATTTAGGATTGAGGTTAAAAAAGTAAATAAAACTGGAACATTTGTTTTTAACTTTTAATATCGGCAGACTACAATTTATTTTTTTTACATTTTATTATACTATAATATTGGATCCATTCAATATTTATATTTTTTGTTTATGAAATCATCTAAACCATGTTTTTTTCCATATCTCTTTTAATGAATGTAGCATTTCCTAATCTTATGTTAGAATTTATTTCTCATGTCTATAAAATGCCATTTTTCATCAATATTGCACATCTGTAATATTTTATGTAGTATCTTCTTTTAATATTAGCTTACTCAATCAAAATTTATATTATGATAAAAAACAAAATCTATTCTGCCAGGAAGAGATGCTGCTGTATGTTGTTCTATCATACGTTTTTTCTCCCTTCACAAATCCATCTTAATAAACAGTTGCTCAATCTAATTTTAAAATGTAATTGGCAGGGATTTCTTAGTGGAAAAAAACTTTTGTATTATATTTCATTATAAAAATAGGCTTAATAAGTAATGTAATCGACAATGAATGTCAGTCTATTAATCATCTCATTATTTTATTATATAAATGTATGTGTAACCATTTATTAACTTATTTGGGTAATAACTTTGGACTATTTATTTGCTAATGGTTTAATAATGAGTCTAAACTTATTTAATAGTTGTATGTACCAAAGTACTTGAATGGTGATCATTTTTATTGTATCTACTGAATACAAGAATTTAATTTCATTACTAGAGCTTCAGCTAAGAGTAATGATAGTTTACAAAGTTTTTGTCCTTGACATTATAAAGTTATACATTTTATATGAAGTAGGTACAAGATGATATGAATTAGGAAAAATATAAGAATAGAATTTATCATTTGACATTTTAAAAGTCTTTATTTATATATTTTTAGTAATAGAAAAATATACAATCGTGCAATTTTCAAGAAAATCTTTTATTAATCAGAAATAATTATTAAAAATATAAATATTAAAGAAAAAATTAAAACCTTGTTAAGGATATAGTTGATTATTTTCGTTACTTTCCAAAAATTGGCCGTTTATTATATCAGCTTGTAATTTTGAATTGCCATTTCCCCTCTCCTTTTATCTTAATGGCATAACTGCCATACATTAATGATGTGGAAGTTAACTTTTATAATCAAGATTTTTGAAAAAATTTATATAATGTGTTAACAACAAAAGTTTTCGTTTACACCATCTTATTTAACATTTAGAGGTATAAAAGCCTGCTTATCCAGAAGTTTATTAAAACATATTTCTATTGATCTTATGGAATCAATTAAAAATTCATCAATACAATTGTTAATTTTTTATTTTTTTATTTCATCTTTGTCCTTTCTTATTAATCCTTTAAGTTAGTTGAAATGTTTTGATAGAATCTTGCTCAATAATATTGTGTATGTTATGATCAATATTTATCTTTGTTTTATGTTGTTACCACTGAGGACAAAAATACTTTGTTTCGAAGGACACACATTTGTAGACTTATGCTATTGAAAAAAAATCATTTCGTTACTTATGGTTAGTTATAGATAGCTTGCATTTTAGGAAGTGAGGTATGTCGTGATGTCTTTCAGAAATATTTTTTGGTTAAGAGATAAGTCAATTAATTTTGTTTTTCTCCTTTCGTGGTGAGGCTTTCTTTGTTCCATTTTTTCAGATTGATATTTTCTTCTTTCCATTGTTACAAAAAGTGCAAAAATTAGTAGTGTAGAATTGATTGCTTCTCAATTTTAGTTGAGTAAAATTTATTTAAAGAAAACATAATCCGTTATAAAAAATGTTTTCTTATATTATTTTTTTTTCTTTGTGAAGACTGAATTTTATTAATGGAGTTTCTTTGTGATAGTACTTGTAAATCTTCTGATTTTATTTTAAAAATTATCGGCGAATACAACTAAGTTAGCGAGGCTCTGTATTGCCTTATTTATTAATATATTGTTAGAGTTAAAATTTTATAATAAAATTGAGTCATTTATCGATGAAGTATAGTCTGCTATGGGCAATCAATTTTTGAAATATGGTCTACACTATATATATCGAACTCGAGAAGATTGTTTAATGAAAATTCCATTCTAAACTACTTAAAAATAATTACAGTTGAATATTTTGAATTGAAGGATTTTTTTAGGGCTTGAGAAAAACTAAAAAATTAACATTCAAAGATATACCTAATTATTTTAAAATTATATATTATGTATATTTCATATAGATGTATAAATGTATGTTAAATAAACATTGATATTATTAATTCAGTAGTGATTCAAATTTTAAATATTCAAATAGTTACTGTTCTCCTACAAGAAGTCTAAATCTTAATATATTTTAAAACTGTTATTTTCAATACTGTATTTTTATTCTTCACTATTCTACTTTCTAAGCCTTATTAATCTGCCTTACATAATTACTGTTGAGAGTTCATTTCATGTAGCCTTCATGCCTTATGGGTATAGAAAATAACTGCTTGCACATTGCTTATGATAAAAGAATCATTAAAAAAACTTGAGCTGAATTAAAAGTAGAAATTTTGTTTGTTAGGAAACAGATTAAGAAATAGCGGTTAAGATTCCTAGTCAGACTACATCTTTTTGGGAGAATTATTAAATAATATTAATCGCTATTTCATTTACAAGCTACTGGTCATTACTAAGGTTCATATTTTCACTTTAGATTTTAAAATACAGGCATTTATTTGTGTTTGGTTGATTACAATTAGATTTTGTAATATATAAATTTTTCTTCTCATAAAAAAAATTTGGTATGCGAAGATGTTTTTATCTATGTAGAAGTTCGATATATAGGGTTTCGACCGTAATGTTTACATTATTTTATATTTGTATAACCCTTGTTTTTTGCCAAATGGTACTTAAATAGTGTAGCCAATATGTTCATCCTACTAGTTTTTCCCACTTATGTATTGTATATTACGGATCTTATATTTTAGTAACATTTTTGTTTTGTGCCAATTGAACATGGTTATATTATTTAAATAATTGGGTAATTTCTGAAAAGAAACAGGGTATCGGGGTTTATATGAGCCAGCATACGGTATCTATAATTATAAGACTGTGCCTTTCCCTTGTCTTAGCTCTTTCTATTCTAACTCTTAGCTTTTTTTCTACTGAAAAAACAAAAAAAATTGCTGAACATTATATAGCTCATAGCTAATTGTTATTTTGTTAATCTTTGATGTACTCATTGAACTATAAGTTGTGTCTAAATATTCTGTTTTTTTCATTTTAACCAATTATTTTGTTTAAAAAAAAAAATGTGTGTAGATGAAATTTGGACCTTTTTTTGCATTTATAATTTATGAAACACTCTTAGTAAATATGTTTCATTTAACCATGTTTTGTAAATTAATTTATATTTTGATAAGTGTATTTTTGATTTATATTTGAGTTGAAAATAAAATTTTATAATTAAAATGTTGTTACTTATTTTTGTGCTTTGATAATTATAAATGAAACCCGAATGTTATGGTGAATGAGGTGAGGGGAAAGCTTTCTCCTTTACATAACCTAACTTGCTGCCTTGGCTAATAATCTTCGTCTTTAACTTTTTAAAAAAATGTGTCTAACTATGCGACATTTATCAAAAGGGAATTGATCTGCAAAATATTCAAAGATGAGTTTCAGATGGTTTTAATTGATTAATATATTGAACAGAAAAGAACTATCTCTTGAATCAGGTATTTTCAACAATAAATCAATGTTAAAAAAAATATATTGGAAATAAAATGTCATATCTTTTAATAAAAATAACCAACATTTTTTAAATTTGAAAAAGAAAATATGAAATAAAAAATAACTGACTATTAAGTATCAGTTTCTAATAAGCTAATTATCAGTATGACTACATATATAAAAAAGTAATAGAAGGATATGGAAAAAGTGTAATTGAGCTTTAAGTTTTGTTTAAATATTCTGTTTTTGTTTTTTTAGTGTGTAGTCCATCTATAAAGTGTATATTTGAAATAGAAAAAGTTTCGAAACACATTAAAAAAAAAAGTTGGAAGTTTGCCATTGAAAATTCCTACTATGATACAAAACAATACATTAAGTTGATTTTTGATCAATCTATTGATATAATAGAAACATTTTGGGGCAGATAAAATGTAGAATAAAATAAATTTTGTAAGAAGAATTAAAATATATTGATTGCTTACCACCATTGTAGCAACTGTTTCAGCCTCTTCTGTTGTGTTAACTGATATATTTGCTGTTTGGTCAGTACTGTCACACTATCATGCTTTGCTTGATAGTTGTCAGTATCTGTAATAGTAGCTACATCTATTGTGACGCTAACCCTCACATGTAGATGTCAACAATTAAACTGTAGCACCTTATCTATCCTAATTAACTATAAAGGTGATAGTGTAGGATAACATTGTTTCAGTTATTTCTAACTTGAAATTGCTTCTATTCAACGTTTTTTTATTATTAAATTCTTGGAGGAGTAATAAAAACTTTGTAACTAGTTTTCAGAAATTATAAATTTCTGTTAATTAATTGTTGAAATTAAGTTTCTTTTATCATTATTTTTTTAAAAATAAATGAGCTAGCCTGTGTTAAATTAATCATGACAGCAGCTGTTCTATACACACCATTTTTTGCAACTGCCAAGAGATTTACTGTCAATATGTATACAAGAGCACTGCTACTGTCTTTATAATACTATCACAATAGACATTTTCACTGTTTAAACAAGGTTTAAAAGGTCCTCTTCCTAATATTTACCACTAATCATAAATTATAAGCTGTTTGTTTCATATCTGTAAACTAATATTCCACATTCCCTTTCAAAATATTTTTTTGGTTCCAATGATTATATTATTGAAATTTTCATAACTTAACTTTGTGGGATAGGATATCTTGAACTGCATGTATGGTATGCATTATAAGGAAGGGGGTTATGAGGAGTTGAAATTTATGAAAATTTATGTGGTACGAATTGATATTCTAATGATGTTAAAATCTTCCATCCATTTTCAAACTTATAAATAAAGTGAGAGTAAAATTATTAGTAGAATTTCAATGATCATTCAAGGTTAAATGAAACACTCTCATCACATGCAAAAAATTTATTTAAAACAAAATCGAAGTGCTATGTCTAGAATCTGAAGCAGTGAAATCAATATTTTATGGGCAACAATAATAAAACACACAAAAATAAAAATAAAACATACAGGACAGCAATTACAAAAACATTCCCTAAATTGAACAGCCTTGTTTTAACTTAAAATAATGGGTAATTATAGAAAGTACATTAACAAGGTATCACATATTTGTTTTGTGTTGAGATGCTGGTGTTAGTTATTGCATGAATTCAGCGTGCAAACAAAACATATCCTCAGCCAACATAATACTGTGAAGTCAGACCCAGCTTCCAGAAATTCATGAATAGATTACTTTTGACCCTTCGTGAATTTATTATAGATGAAATTTGCTGTGACCAGGTCTTCAATGGCTATACCTGAAAGATTTAATAGATTGAAAATACTATCGAATTTCGACAAAAAAAAAAAAAAAAAAAAAAAAAATGTATATATAATAATAAATTGTACATTTGTACTAATATATGAAGCTCAAGATTTCGTATGTTATCTAATCACAAGGAATTCTCATTCCATTTGATAAATTATTTTTGTTTTAGATAGACCATAACTAATTTTGAATGTTTATTTGGAAAATATTCAATAAATTATAGTTGCGATTAAATTCGCTAACACTTAAAAATCTCTTAGAGAAAACAAAACAGCATGAAACAAAATTTAAGTCGCTGATTTTATCAGATGAGGGAGTTAGAGAGCTAGATTATTTTAGTATAATTACGACTGTAATTACGTACAATTTATAAAATATTGAAGAGAAATTGGTTAGGGTTTTCATTCAATGAAAATATAAATAAATTATATATATTTTCTTTATTTGTTTTGTGCCGACACTTTGGCCTAGGGTTCAGGCCTTTATCAGGGCTAAGCAAAGACAACATAAATATGTAGGTAGTAGACAATAATAGTAATAATATGTAGATAAAAAAGTATAGTCAAATAATAATATGTAGGATTAAGGAAGTATAAGGTAACAAAGCTAGGACCTGTAAAATAGCGGTAGCAAATAGTAGAACAAACTTAGGAAGTTATAAAGGTATAAATAAAGTAAACAATAATAAAATAACGATAAAAACTTAATGAAATCAAAAAAGCAATGAAAAATAAAATACAAAATAATGGTTTGATATATAAAATAAAATTTAATATACAATAAATAAAAATTGTTCCAATTTCCTATTTTAGCCATTTCTAATACCAGCTGTTCTTCTTTTGTATTCTCTTAAAATATCGGCTACATACTAATTTTCCAGAGCGATTGCAAGTAATTTATAATCACAGGTAAATAGATTGGACCAATCATATTCTATAACTGGTGAAATGGAAGGTCTAATAAATTTAATTAAGTGGTTTTAAAATATCTCAAAAAGAAACTATACTTACTATATTAAAAAAGAAACTTATTTTTTAAAAAAATATTTTATTTTCAACATTACCCAAGTTATGGAATATGGTGCAGGTTACATCTTCAGGAACAGTTTTTGATGAATTTAGATAATTTCCTATTTCTCCTTTTATATCTGAAAAAAGAAGGATAGATTTATATGTATTTTGTTTTAATATTATTTTGACCCTTTTACAAATAGTCAGCATATATTGTTACCTATCCCCATTTGAGTAAGTCCAGCTAATTCCTTTTCCGCAGACTCCATATGATCAACCACAAGGTAAGATTTCCTATATAATGCTTCACTGAGCTCTGAGTGATGGTTCTGCCCAGCTCCGATAGCTATAATTTATGATAAATTCATTATTTTATTTTCTAAATATAAACAGTGACTATAGGAGGATGTCAACTCAACCTTTGGAAGTAGCTATGTTGGGACTGCAGTCAGTCCCAAGCCTGAATAAAGAAAGTGTGGTTTTGGGTAAGGCTGGGTTGTGGCTCTGCAATTCTGATTCAGAGTTGAATCAACTGTCACAGTAGAGCTTTAGTAACAGTTGCTATAACAAGAGATACACTGGGTAGGTAATGGCAAAGCATAATAATCCACAAGCCAGCATGCAAAGTTTTGACTTATTAATGAGAAAATAAATCATTTAAATCAGAATTAGATAGCTGTCAAGATACATATTCATTTAGCAGGCCTATGGGTTTATCTTCAACAATTTATGCAATCATTAGCTTAAACAATTTTTTTTAGGTGTACACAGCCATTGCTAAATTTTTTAAATGCCGATAAATTTAAGATTTTTGTGTTAAATATGGCTACTATCACTCTAAAATTTAACATTTTGGGTTCTGTGTTAATACATATATGAGCCTGGAAGGTTGTTAGAAGCTTTTAATCTTCTGTTTTATTTAAAGTAAAATAAAATACAGATGAAATCCTGGAAACATCTGGTGAAAGAAGATAAATATCTGTTTTCTGTAATTATGAATAATCCAATTAAGCTCAAATTGAATAATTGTTTTTCCCGATTTTTTATATATTTAGAATTATCACAAAAGTGTTCAAATAAAATAAAAATACGATTGTAAACATTAAATTCAACAAGTGAAACCAAAGTTATCACGAGATAAAGACTTTATATTATTAATTTGTTTCAGAAGCTTTAATAAGGTAAATCTTCTATATGTTTTAAAGTTTAAGTTTATGTATTTTTCCTATAGTTCAATTTAAATTTTCTAAAGCCCGAGAAATTTTGTATTTGTGCATGAGGTTGAAAAAGTTTTGGGCTCAGAATCAAAAATTTTCTCTAGTGTTTTAAATTTTAAGACAACTAGAGACGATTTTGGTTCCAATATGTCTGTAGTTAAAACTATGGGAAGGACATATCACCTAGTACCACTAATCCGATTTTCAGGAATTATGTGGGATGGTATCTAGATGATTCCATCCACTACTTAAACCTGCCAAAGTGCAAACATATTTTCATTGGTTGTACTATAATTCAGGAATGGCTAGTTCAATTTGGCCCAAAGTCAGAGGGAAGTTATGAATTAGTGAACAAAATGATGCATTATCAAATTCAATTCCCTAATTGAGAAATCAAGAAATAGTTTAGTATCAATTTCATCAAATTCATTTCAAAAATTAAAATTAATATAATGGCTGTAAAATATGGTTAAATAAGCTTTTAAGTTATATATTTTTCCTGTTACTGTTAACTTGATTTGATAAAATTTTCAGGGATTGTGAGGGTTGATACTTAGTCCACTATCATTTTCATCAAATTTCCATTTCTTTCACAAAGACTTTATACAACAAAAGCGGCTCCTCCCAAATATTTTATTCTCAAAAAACAAATCATATATCATAGATATAACCAACAGAACTGGTGAGATAGGTAGAACAATCCTACTTAGTGATAAAGCACCATTGATAATCTCTTCAATAGTGACGACTACCAAACTATGCTAACACGACTGGATATGCTAGAGTAGTATCTCCTAAACCCTGAGTCAGTAGCTGAAAGAACAGACAATAATATTCAACAAAATCAAACCTGAGCCTTATCGAGAGTTAGGAGAGCAGTGCCTTACCCATTGGTATTATCTTTTATCCTTGTAAAAATTAAAAAAAAAAGATGAAAACAAAATTATGAAAAGTATTGTAAATTCAAGATTTGAATAACTGAAAATTTTTCCTCTTCACATTCTGGACAAGTTTCAATCCAAAAGAGAAAGTATGTAATTTTAGAACCTAATGTGATTAGAAAGCAGATAATAAATTTGGGGATAAATTTGCCTTGTAAAATCACTAATGGCAAAAATGACTTCTTCAGCTGAAATCTCCAAGTTAATGGGATTACAAATTAGAGCAGTTTCTGAAAGAATATATAACCCCACAACTTCCTATTGCTAAATTTAAACAGTTTTCTAAAAAAGTACTAACCATTAATATGAGCACCTTCTTTGACCCAAGTGTCCTGCAGTATTGGCTCTTTAGCGTATGTTGCAGTGCATATTACATCGGCATCCTTTACACATTCTTCGTTTGATTCAAAAAGGGTACATTCAAAAGGAAGCTTTGAAGCAAGGATTTTAGCACGTTCCCTGGTTCGATTCCATATCCTGACCTAAATTAATTAAAATCATAGTAATGTAATGTTTAGTTACTAAACAAAACATTAATTTATTAATTGATATACCAATATTTACAATTATAGATAGAGGCATGCTTGAGTAAAGTTACCTATCCTTCTACGATTAGCTTTTAAATATGAAAAATAAATGACAGAATTAGTGAAATACGATTGAAATAATTTTGATAAATAAAAAAAATAAATAAAATACCCCTTACAACCCATGAAAGATCTTGGGTTCAGTACTTTGTAAGTACTGTTTCAACAGTTAAGTACTGTTAGGCCAACGGTTGTGCATAGAGGTGATTGAGTCGGGATCAAGCTCAACTGCTAGGTTTTCCCCCTTAATTAAGAGTACCCACTTTATAGAGGCTGGGCATGACACAGGAAGGTCTACCAACCCCAGGGTTGATCCACGCTGATGAAAAATTATTTGCCATCAGCTGGACTCGAATCTGGGACCTTTAGCTTTGGAAATCAGTGCTCACCCACTGAGCTACCTGCTGTTCATTTAATTAATATGTTTGCCAATTCTATAAATAGCAGATAGAAAAAGCAAACATGACTAAAATCTAGAGCCTTAAAAACTACCTCCATATAATAGGAGATTCCAGGCTTAAGGGAGAACATCTCACTTTAAAAGTATTTTGAGTTATATATTATAAAAATATTTGTTTCTATTTTTTGGTTTTGACTTATTTCAATTCCATAATTTTCTTGAATTTAAAAGGAAAACTATTTTTTTTTTTTAAATATAAACCTTTTGAGAAAAATGTTGATATTTTATTGCTTTGAGCAATTAATTTATTGACTAACTACAAACATAAAAATGAAACATTTCTAAAAATGAAATTTGGTAGCTAATTGATATTGAATATACCAAGAAATGATTTAACTGAATCACTAACATTTTACTTGATGAAATTATAATATTCATATCTTCTTTTTTTAGAATCATCCATTTATGAAAAATCTCCACATATATTATTATGATAAAGATCAAAATCGGTTTTGTACCAAATATAAGCTCCAGTTAAGCTCAAATACCATGAATGGAGTACCGGTGGATTCAGAATTTCACGAGGGGTTAGTGAATCGTACTCCCCGCTTTCGTTTTTCTTTCAAAAATAAATAAAGTCGATACAAACATTTTGCTAGGCTTCAATACTGGGACAGAGATAAGTATAGATCGATACAGGGCAAATTGGGCTTTGAAGATTTTGATGCATACAGTAAGACCCGGATAGTTCCTCTGGAACTATCGGATCCTGCGTTTTTAAGTCCAAAAACGTACTATTTTCGAGACAACGCAAGGCATAGGGTACACATCCACACAACCTTATATAGTTATTAGTTAGTTCGTTGTTAGTTGTTGGGCTCTGCGTTCTTAAGCCCAAAAATGTACTATTTTCGAGAAAATGCAAGGCAAAGGGTTCACATCCACACAACATTACGTTAATTGTGGTACTGTCATGAAATACATCTCTCATTTTGCCGACTTGAGGCCCCTATGACCGAGAGAGTTGGAGTTTATATTATTTATCGAAGATGTTTTTTGTCAGTAAGACACATTATCGTTAATTCTTCACCAAATCCCAAGATTGAGCCACCAATTTTGAAGGTTTCCTTCTCTTTCAGGCGGACAAAATAGTCCAATCATCCCGAAAATTCTGGCAAAAAAGTTATGAAAGAAAAGAAACTTAATTTGCGAATAACTCGAAAATTACACACTATTCCCATGATTATATAAAAGATTACTAAATTTCCTACAAAAGAAAAAAAAAATCATCGAAATCGGACTATTTTTAGCAAAGATACAGCTTATTGAAGTTTGTAAACATATTGGTTTCAAACATTAACTTTTTTTTTTTTCTTACCCTCCAAAATGTTTATTGAAACAATTACATATATAGTATAAAAAACATTAACAATGTTTTCAAACATTAACAATGTTTTACTTTAATTTTTGTTTCCTTTGTCAATTATATTTAGCGAGAAAGTAACAATTGATTTCTTTTATGAAAGGCTGCATTGTTTTATTTTCTTATTAATTTATTATTTAACTATAAACTGTGCGAATTTTCGCACGGGCCAACTAGTTACAATTATTTGAACTAAGCACTTCATTTAAAAGATGGGACTGGGAATCTATAGGTGAGTTTAGACATTTCACAAACTTTGGAAAAACAAATATTTAAATGGTTTCCCTATGGTTGTTTTTGTTTCTTGTTTTTGATGTTTTCCATCTGCTGTCATTGACAAGAGGAATAAAAAAATAAGTTTGGCTTAGATTTGATGTCGCTGTTAGTTAAGTTACATAAATGTGTTTTCCATAGTTTGTGAATTGTCTAAATGCACTTTTTCAGTAATTAAGTTAAAATAAAAAACTTAAGAAGGAATAGGAGAACACTTACAAATTTGAGCTTTATGCAAAACCTTAAATATTTTAGCATGATAGAACAGCTCTGGAATGCCATTTACCTCTACGTAATTTATTGGAAGCATGATTCTTAATGTGGTTATAATATTAAAACAAAATTCAAATATTTAAATTTTAAACTATCTAAACTCCTTATTACTTCTTTGAAGTCGAACATTTCCTTAAGAGCCAAAGCATGGGATTCAGCTTGTGTTCCTGCACCTAATATGGCTAAAATATCCTTGCTACCTTTATGCATACATTTTGTGGCAACAGCTGAAGCAGCAGCTGTACGCCAAGCTGTTATTCTATTGGCTTCAACAATCTGTAATAAATCATATTACATAAATATATTATGAAAAACAAATTATATATAAATAAAATAAGAAAACTACATACAGCTTTGATTTTTCCAGTTATTGGATCAAACAGCAAAATATTTGCTAAGACACTCGGAATTCCAATAGATTTATTTTGAGGAAATGAAGTTACTAGCTTGCAAGCAAGAGCATGATCATTCTCAGAATAGCTAGGCATAGCCAAAAACAGTCTGAAATTGTTTCAAGAATAGATCCATTAAACTTTTATACAATGAACTGAGAAAAGAAAAATTGTCTGGTATGTTCTTTCTCATAAAATAACAAAGGTAAAATATTTTTTTAAAATCTACCTTATATTAACAAGAATATAAACTTACTTTACTTTATCAGCTTATTTCTATGATCATTGACCTTATATAAAAACATACATTATAATAAGAGATAAAATATGAACACATATAAATATTTTAAGCAGATATAATTACACCATTAAATAGCCAAAATGTACAAATTGTTTTTACAATATCAATGACTGATGATTTTCATCATACTCTTTGCAAAAACCTAAAGGACTACATAATTAAAAAAAATAAACCAATCACAGACAAGTAAAAAATATCAACATAAAACAATTGTCAAAATATAAACATAAATTATGATGTTATTTAAGAAAAATGATTAACAATTTAATAACATTGTAACTATTTAAGAAGTGATTGAAAATAGGGCTGTGGATACAAGTTCAAGATAAATTTGATCAGAAATTCAGCCACAAACAAATGTCAACGAAATTCTAATAAAGAACTTATAACATTGGCTTAAATAGTCATGTATGATAAGTTCTCGATTCAGGCCTAATAGAGGTTAGTTCATAAAACTATGATTCAAAAAATTAAATTAAAGTAATCAACTGAGATCTTTTAATTTTATTTATAGTCTTGTTTGAGAGGTTGATTGTATAACTAGAAAGTGTAAAAAAAAAAAAAAAAAAAATTACATTTCGTTCAGAAATGAAAAAGTAAATAATAAACAATTAAAAAAGATCTCATAAGTGATAAATAGAAAAAGGGGTCAAAGATTTGTCAGCTGAATTCTGCTTAAAAATACAAGATTAAATTGATATGAATCATTAAAAGTTATATAAGAAAACTTTCCCTCAGCAAAATCACAATTATAACTTTATTATTACTATTTATTGTTAATTTCATAATTTAAGTGCGACATGAAGACAGGGGTACCCACAAGGATGTTTCATGGAGCAAGTTACGCCATCACAATTTTTGAGGGAGCCACATTTTGACAGAGTTATGGGGAGAGGATTGGCACCCCTGTATGAAGATGAAAAAATAAAACTTTAAGCAATTCAAACATACAATGAATTGAAAATAGATAAGAGTTAAAAACAATTTATTACATTAAATACAATCATTTATTTTAATTCTCATGCCTGATAATGTTAATAATGTTTCATTAAATAATATAGAAGCAAAATTTAAGTAATGAATTTGATAGCTCATTGTTTTTACTTATAAAAAATTTAAAAAAATAGAATGGCAGTTATGATTCCAAAATTTAACTAATTAAACTTTTTTTAGTTTTCAATTAAATATATACCTATTAAGTCAATAACAGACGAAATAAAATTTAAAATTATAACAATGCCTAATTACTTTATAAAACCTACAAAACAAAAATACAGTTGAACCTCTATCTCTAGAACTTAAAATTAGTGACTACAATTAAAAATATAAATTTTGCAATTGAATACACATGTCGCATATGGCATATATTGAGAACATAACAGTATCATCTTTAAGATTTATTTATTTTTTTAATAGATAAAAAGTGTATACAAAATATACAATAAAGAGTTCCAATAATATAGATATGTAATTATCTTAAAACAAATAAATAAATACATGGAGACATCTCTTATTTCCGGGAAATTAACTTCTGAAGTCTTGCTTATTGTGAAGATATTTAATTTAATATAATAAAAAATTTATTCATATAAAAATCAGCATATAATAGTTCGATACATGGTTCCCTGTATAGTGGTTCAACTGTTAAAAGTTCTAAAAATTATAATCACTTAAATTTCTATCCAATATGTGAATAAGAAATTTACAAATAATGTTATTTGATTATTCACACAGGTACAAAGTGATCTAAGCGAAACAAAAAGCTTGATCATGATGTCATTTTTTTTTAGATGGTTCAAAAGAATTTTCTTGGAGCTCAAGAACATGTTCCACAGGCACAGGTTTGCCATCAGGTCCTATCCTGCAAGGCTTAATAATACCTTCTCTTTGAAGCTTATCAATTTTATTAACCAACTCTAAAGCAAAATACTCTTTTTGTTCTTCAGTCATATTAGCAATTTCATTCACTCTAGGTGGTGTAAGACAACCAACGACGGGATTAATCATGTGCTTGTTTTGAATATACTCTTCAGTTTCACTGTCTTCACTATCAGATCCTGAAAAGGGATTACCACCAAGCAATCCACGATTTGCTAAAAGACCAGCTGCGTTTCCATACCCTGTATATTTAACCATTCTGGCAACACTTTCTTTACAAAGAACAAAAAGAAAATCAGCAACTAAATCTCTAGTGGATGTTATGGGACATGTTAATAAGCGACAAAGCTTATTACGTAAGGTATTACCAACTTCAGGCCTAGTATAAACATCACGCAAATTAGGCAATACTTTAGATCGTATATATCTTCTAAAAAGAGAATTGCTTTTTGACAAATTTGTAAGTAAAAGAGTAATAGGGGAAAGCTCTTCTTTAGGGGTAGTGGGAATATCCTCCAGTTTAGTGAGGATAGCATCTAGAAAATCTATCAAAATTGAAACTGCTTCCATTGCTGGGCTTTTTTCGACAAACTTCTTATCATTTACTTGTTTTCCTGGTATAATGAGAGCTATTAAGCAACCATGTGGTACTGATGTAAGTATATTAACTATATCATTAATTAAGCTAATAGATTGTGGACTTAAGCCAACTAAAATCATTTCCCTCAATAAAGCAACAAATTTCTTAAATTCTACCATGTATGAATCTTCTCCTTTAACATTAAACAAAACATTGAAAGTAGTTTTGAGTATTTCAGATAACAGTTTCATTCTATTAGCATTAAATTGGGGTTTCTTATTACTGGAACTTATTAGACTTTCATTAGAAATATTTCCTATTTTCATACAAAGTTCAGTGAAGAAACTAAGACCATATATGTTAAATAATAGGTCACGAGAAGAATTAGAAAAACCAGTAATAAGAAACAATAATTTTATTTCAGATAGGGTTCTTTCTGAGTTTTCTTCTGCCAGGGACTGCAACTTCTTAGCTAAAAGATTGGTGGCACCAAATGAATGTAATACTTCAGCTCCACTTGGATGATTGTAGGTCAAATTACACAGACATTTCAATGCTTCCATACTACACTCATCATTTTCTTTCAAATCTAATTTTATGTTCGAAAGATTGAATAGTACCTGAAGTCTTTTTTCGTTAATAAACTTATCTAAATTCAATTTTTCTCTACTCAGTATTCTAATTGCTTTGAGACACAATAATTTCACTTTAGGATCATTTCCTTCCAACTGTTTGAACAATACAGCCCAGAATCTTTCTCTAATGTTACCATCCAAACAAGGGGAGCAGAAGTTTTTTTCATTTTCTTCCACAAAAGTTGAGAGCAACGGTAAAGATGATTCCACTGATAAATTTTCAAGACTTGAAATTAAACTGTCCATTTTAAGAGATTCGAAAGCACTACAAATAACGTTTATAAACAAATCACTTTCCTGAGAGGTTTCCTTATCATCAAACGATTACAGTGTACATAGCAGAAATGGCTACCTGATAATGGCTACCGAAACTAGTTTTGGAAATAATGCATTATTTAAAACTTCTATAAACTGAGTATTACCCTTGTTTGTCAGGAATATCCATGAACAGTCTGGCCGGCTGAATCGTAGATTTATTTTTAATTGAGATATCAACTAAACTCTTTTCTATAACTGGAACTAGAGTTTTCCATTCCAGGCAATTTTTGACAAAATCGTCAGAAATCAATTTGACGAAAGACATCCTAAGCGGGATAGGAAATAACAGGGCCAAAATCACAAGTCATCAAACAGTTAGAACTTATTTCTCTTTTTTGACTGATATCTTGCATCTGATTACAATCACGAATTTGGTGACACTAGTTCCATGATGACATCGATATTTTTTTCTTAATCGATATTTGAGCAATTGTGTTGGTATTTTGCACTTTATCTTTTTTAAATTAAATGTTCGAAGTATAATATTTGCATCAATAATATTTATAGTAATAAGAAATTTGAAACGGTATGGATGATTACTAAATATAAGCACAGATTACAAGACATGAATGAAATTTTCTATGAATCGATTAATTCATTCCTGTTGGGGAAGGTTTGAATTTATTGGAGAACGTGATCTGGATTTGACTTTGAATGGAGGATTATCAGTTTTTATGAAAATGTGAGTGTCATTTGAATTAATGTCTATTGAAAATGTGCGATATTAAGAGATCTGAACAAGAACAAGCTGTGGTTGTGAGAGCTAATCCCAGTCGGAAAGTTTTTAGACCACAATCAAAAACGTTAAATAAAATACCTGATGACATTTTAAATAATGTGCTTTTAAATGCTGCCATTCAGAAACTTCCACAGAATTACAATTTTGAAATACATAAAACCATATGGAGGATAAGACACACAGAAGCGAAAAGAGTTGCCTTGCAGATGCCAGAAGGGCTCCTTCTGTTTTCTACAATGATCTGTGATATTATAGAACAATTTACCTCTGCAGATACAGTGATTATGGGAGATGTGACCTATGGTGCTTGTTGTGTAGATGATTTCACAGCCAAAGCCCTGAGAGTAGATCTGCTTATTCATTACGGTCACAGTTGTCTTATCCCTGTGGACCAAATGCCTGATATCAAAGTATTGTATATATTTGTTGATATTAAGATTGATCCGATACACTTTATAGAAACAATAAAACTTAATTTTAAAATGGAAACTAAATTAGCTTTTGTTAGTACTATACAATTTATCACAACTCTTCATGCAGCTGCAGGTGAACTGCGTAAATTGGGTTATGATGTAAAGATACCGCAGAGTCGACCCCTTTCACCTGGTGAAGTATTAGGTTGTACTGCACCGACTATACGAGAAGTTGATGCCTTAGTTTACCTTGGTGATGGAAGATTTCATCTTGAGGCTGCCATGATAGCTAATCCAAATTTAAAGGCTTTCAAGTAAGGTTCAAAACTTTTTCTTAATAATTTGAGGAATATGACCTATCTCATTTTATTTTCTTGACAGGTATGATCCCTATGAAAAGAAATTCACAGAAGAAGAGTACGATTATGATGATATGCATGCTAGACGAGAAAAATCCATTGAAGCTGCACAAGTTGCTGGTTCTTTTGGTATAATTTTTGGCACTCTGGGTAGGCAAGGAAACAAGAAAGTTTTCAATTACTTACAGGTGACTATAATTAGCTTAGAAACTAAATTTAATGTAATTTATAGTTACAAATGTAATACTAGTATAATTTCTGTAGCCTCGTGGAGTGATGGATGTTTAACAACTAGGTTTCAAAAGTAAGAAATGAAAAATCTAAGTTTCGATTCTTTAATTCTTACCACAATTTAATAAAAGTGATTAAAAATTGTGTACTAGTTCACAATAGTTCCGCACGGATCAAGCCTGATTCACAATCACTTCGGTCACACTTGTTCATGGAATCCCGAAAAGAGCGGATTGTTGTTGTCTCTTATGACGTCAGCTATTGCTCCATCACACAAACTTAATCCCTTTTCATGCATTTTTGAAACAAAAAAAAAAACTTATTCCCTTCATGAAACTTCCTTATTAACAATTTATTAACAAATTGTGTATCTACTAATTTGTTAATTACTAATTTTAACTATAACGGTTATTACTGTTAATGAAAAAAAAAAATATAAAAAAATGTTTGTCATTTTTTCAATGCCTGTTAAAAAAAAAATGCTTTTAGAAATAACATTTTTATTGACACGTGCTTACATGTAGGGGCTGTTAATACGCATATACTGTTGTATATTATTTTTTATAACTGTATAAAAGATTTTTTTATCATTTGGATAATAAATAATCTGAAGTTATCTATTATCTTTTTATTTGTAATTCGAGTTTTTCAATAGAAGTTGGATTAATTGAATTTATAATTTATTTTAGCAAGCCTTTTTTAGAATTGCGCATCATCTATCTAGTTTATGTAACTTTTTGGATTTCTAATAGTACAATGGTCCACTATTTTCTAGTCATCGGAGCATTTATGAATATACTGTCGGATTTAAAATTGTTCGTCGATTTATTTTTAGATTTTTGGATTTCTTAGATATAAGAGTCCACTATTAAGTTGTTAAGGACACTTTTTATGAAAATAATGTCAGATTAAAGATTGCGTGAGAAAAGTGTACAATATCAATAAATAAAATGTATCTATCAATCCTTATATAGATAAATATTTATTCCAAAAATGTCTAATCCCAACGAGATTCGTAGATCTGCCAGTTAGTTAACTATTAACTTAAAATTAATTTTTTTGTTTTAATCGCTATTAATTTTATTGAATGAATTAGCTGTGTAATTATTGTTATTCAGTTATTTTTCTCGGTAATCCGAAAATGGGAATTATTGTAGTGATTCGTAAAAAAAAACAAAAAAAGTGTTTATTTTTGAGAAAGGAATTAACATATTGCAGAAACAACTGACTAGGAATATCTGATAATTCCGAGACAATGAATAATGGAAATCACCAATAAGAAAAATAATATCGTGAAATAGCATTTAGAGATGTAATAATTAAAGATTTTTATCTACTACTATTTCTTTTTCACAGATCTATAATATATGTACAAGTTCGATTCAGGTTTCATAATGTATAGCCTAAATTTCGAATGTAAGTCGACTCCTGCTGTATAACTGAACATGGTTAAGGTTGTAGAAGTAGTTAAATGGCGGGAAAGTTAATAGTGACTGACTCAAGAGATCGGTTGCCTTCGTTCTCTTTCAGAAAAACCCGAACGCATTCAGCATTCCATGAACAAGTGTGACCAAAGTGATTGTGAACCAAGCGTAATCCGTGTTGAACTCTTGTGATCTATGTGAACCATGCGTAATCCGTGTTGAACTCTTGTGATCTATGTGAACCATGCGTAATCCGTGTTGAACTCTTGTGATCTAGTACCAAAAATTGTATTTATACTTCTATTGTGGTGTGTTTTGAAAACTTTTAGATGGACGATATGACCCAAATGGGATGTTCCTGCAGAAATAAAATACAGGCATTGTACTTTAAAACTCCAAAATTTATTGTTTTCTAAATATCATGTGGACCCATCATAAGTTTTAGTGTTATAATCTTAAAGTTATTTTCTTACTTTTCTATGATAAAATCAGGTTAGAAATTAAGAGTACGAATTGTGCTGTTTTCCAAGAGAGAGGGAGGTGGAGGATTCATGTTTTTGTTTGTGTCCTGAAAAATTATGCCAGTAGTACTTATGTCTAGGTTTTACAATTATATTATTGCTATTTAGGTTTTCAAATGGTTGTAAGAGTGGTTCAATTAGTTAAAAAGTTCCTATTTTATTAAAATAATATAAAATTATGCTAGTTGATCAATATCAGTGAGTCTTTAATTGGACCTTAAGTTGATTGTTTTACTTTAGAATTAATTACCGTAGACTGAGATATAGACAATTTTAATCCCTGTTGAGATTTCACTTACCTAATTTCATTATTAATGATAACATAACAAAGCCACATATTTTTATAAAAATTGATATAACAGCTGATGAGAGTACTCGTATAAAATTACACTATAAGTTATTGGTATTTATCATTAGTAATTTTCAAAAAATGTTTTAAATATATATACATGTATATTTGAATACATAAAAAAAGACATAATCTCGATTTATAATGTTTTTCTTACATCCCAATTTTTGTTCAATATTTATTTTAATACTTTTGTTTCAATATTTTTAGAATCAACTGAAAATTATTGGAAAACCATGGGTCAATATTCTTTTATCTGAAATAACTCCTAGAATATTGAGCCTGATGAAGATTGGAGCGTACATCCAAACCTCTTGTCCACGGCTGTCCATTGACTGGGGAGCTCAGTTCCCAGTCCCATTACTGACACCGTATGAAGGAGCAGTGGCTCTTGGCAAGCAACAACTTTTTACACTTCAGTAATATTTTTATTCTGTACATTTTTAATATTAAAGGCTGTATATTTAGAATAGATAAGTATTGCCCATTACTGGCCACTGTCGTCTTCCAGCTTTCTGGCAGCATATGAATTCCATGTCCAAAAAATGATTCTTAAAGCTATTCAAGAAAATACCCATTTTTTGGTAACTTGGTAAGAATGAAAATGCTGTTCAGCCAGGCTATATGCTATTGAACATAATAATTAATAATCGGTTAGAATCATGCTTAGTGAATACGGCGGGTGGTTCAGAACTAATCATTTAATAGTTTTCAGGTAGGTTTTATCGATTTTGTAACAATTGGTCGAGCGTTATCATGCATTAAAATCACCTTGCTTGTATTAAAATTATTTTTAGTCGTTTGTAATCTCCTGTGATAGTTTCATTTGATTTGAGCAGCACATAATAAATTACAGCGGGCAGATTCCCCCATATGCAGAGAAGCTTTAAACCATTGATATTTGGCTTTGTAGATGATTGTTGCCTGCTCAGGCTTACCACATGATTTTTTATGCTTATTACTAATGTACTGTATCCAGTTTTCATCGCCAGTCATGATACATTGCAAAAAATTTGTCCTTTTCTGCCGGTGAAGCAGTAGCTCTCTTGTGAGAAAATGTTGTTCTAAATTTCTTGGCTTCAACTCATAAGACGCCCAATGCCTTGCTTCTGGACATTGCTGCAGGATCTTTCCTAATACTTTCATATGTTTCGAAACTGTAGAGTCATCTACTAGCAATGATTTTCCAAGTTCAACTAGTGTCTGACATATGTTTTCACTAAGTAATTTCTCCAATTCTTTTTCTTCAAACTTTTTCCGAGCGCCGGAGAGTTCTTTATATCCAGGATCAAACTTATTATTTTTGAAGTGCTGAAACCAGTTTCTACATGTCTTTTCCAACAGAGCATATTCACTGTAAGTCTCAGTAAGAATTCTATGTGCTTCAATTGTAAATTTCATTTGAATAAAATTTTCCATAAATACTCTCTATTTGGCACAAAAATTGACATTATTAGAACTAAATAACAACACGACAAAAACTTTGTTTACATTGTGGCAAACTAGCATACACTGAATTACAGTCTTATCAATAGTAGTCCTTGGAAAATTGCATCACCATCTGAAATGAAATGTGAAATGAAAATGAAAGTATTTTTTTATTATCCTGGGACTGTTGTCCCTTTAGGACAAATTACAGATACAGAATAAATGCCTGTGTGGCCATACATAAAATTAATTATTTACATTTATTACTAAGATTAAGAAAGAATAAAACAAAAAATAGAACTATTATACTAAAAACATTCTGATATGTATAATACAAACGTGGGAAAATAAAATAGCATAAATAAAGAAAATCATTTCTGGGGGAACTTTAAAAGTTCTCTTATCTACATTTCATGATCAATCGGGTTGGGAAAGGAGTAGGTGGTTAAAAAGGAGAGATTTAAATGAGGAAACTGATTGTACATGTCAGATATCGGGAGGGATGGTATTCCAGAAGGAGACGGCTTGAATTATAAAGGATTTGTCAAACGCTGCAGTTCGGTGGGGAGGTGGATAGAGGCCGGAAGTACGAGATCTAGTGAGACGGGATTGAATGGAATATCTGAATTGTAGGTTGTGAAAAATATAGGAAGGCAGCTGAGTTCTGATGACTTGGTATAGAAAGGTGACAAGGAAGTACAGACGGCGGTTGGATGGATAGAGCCACTTCAACTTGGTGTAATACTGGGTTATATGTGTATCTCTTGAGATTCCGAAAACAAAACGTATTGCGCAGTTCATTAGGCGTTTAAGTTTGGCTTCGAATTCTCCTGAGTGTCCGCCGTATACCAGACAGCCATAGTCGAAGTGGGGGAACACAAGGGAGGAAACCAGGAGTTGACGGGGGAATGTCCATAATATTGGTACTGCCATCTTTTAGAAAATAGGGAGAACTTATTCAAGGTTCTAATACTTAAACTGTGATACCTTGTAAGAGTGAAAAAAAAAATTAAAACTATGATCTTTGTACAATTTAAATAAATATCAATATCATTCTAAATCGGTCTGATCAGTTAGAAAAAATGAAATAAGTATCTTAAAAAATGATGGTTCAGACGAGATGTCTCTAGAAAGATTTTTTTTTAGACTTACAAGATATATCAGCTTAAGCAGTGGTATTTAATTTATAAGTTGATCAATTTTTGTTTAAAGATATTTGTTTATAATATGAAGATTATATTATACCTGCCATTGTTGTAAGAATGATTACTTTGTATAGGTGGTCTGTACACATGAATTTAAAAATAATTATTTTTTTATCATTTTGATGATATATATGCAATATTACCTCATATATAATTTTTTTTAGTGTAATTATAGTTTTTAAACCATTCATTTTCTTAATTTGCAAAATATTGTTTCATATTATTGATTACCCTTAACCATCAGGTAAGTATATGACATGTCATGTGATGCCTTGTTTATATTCAGCAAATGCCACTGTTCCTCGAGCTGGCGTATTTACTCCTGTACTTATTTCCATGACAGCATCGGAGGCAGTGGATGTTTGCATTCTGCCTATACTCCTCACACTTCCTGGTTCAATTTTGACCTAGGGCAATTAATTAATTAATTAATTAATTAATGAACACTTAGCTAAAACAGAAGACAAATCTGTACTAATTTGCAAAATATATAGACAATAGGTTAATAATAATACATAAAAATGACAATCACTTAAATTATTGATATTATTTAACAAAAAAGTAATATTTATTATGAAAAATCTATATTAGTGATATACTATTTACAAGATACTATAAGAAAAAAAATTAGATCTGGCACCAGTTCTGAAGAAAAATTATTATGAAAATGGAAAAGGGATTAACAAAAATTGAAGTGTTTATTTTATTTATTTATGATTTCTAAATTTGTTTTCTAAACATTCGTGATTGATGCTGATTGTTTTGTTGTAACAGGTACCCAATGGACTATTACGCTGTGGACAGTTTAGGACCCTGGACTCCTAACAGTAAAGAGTGTTGTGGAACTGGTTGTGCCAAATCTTAGCATCAAAATTCAATTTTAACATAATTGCCAATCTTTTGTACATAACATTGTTTATAAAGTACGGAAATTTTTTATTATTAAGTTATTTGTATCTATTTATTTTGTTGTACATTTAATGTCGAAACATTGTGTTCCTTATTTTAAAATATTTCCTGCGTTTGCATTGTTATTTTGATTTAAGTTCGACGAACTATTTTCTTAAAATATATTTTATAACCTCAAATGTTTTTTGTTTTTCTAAAATTATTAGATTTTTATTATTTAGAAAATTATTTAGAATAATAACTTTTAACCGTATTAATTTTAATTTATTTTATTATTATTCTTTATTAGTTTTATTATTACTATCATTTGTTGAGTACCATATTGCTCCAATGCTACAATTAGTAATGAGATATTTTAAACTGTCATTAGAGCCTAGAATTTTTTCAAATTTTATATTTTGGAAAATACTAAACTACCTCAACTACCTACTAAAATTTGGTGTTAGAAGATCATCCATTGACTCATTCAAAATCTGAAGGATTTTCTTATCCCCTCCAGAGCTAAGGTGAATAACATTGGTGATAGTCCATCTCCATGCAGTAAGCCCGTTCGACTTTTGTAGGCTTCAGATACTTCTCCTAGTATCAGAACTCTACATTTAGGATCATTTGTAAACGCCTTTCTGCGTTTACATCTCACCAACTTACCGAGAACTCTCATTTCAGTTATGATTTTCCAAAGAGAGTTCCTGTTCACAGAATCATAGGCTGCTTTGAAATTGTCAAATAGGGCGTGGACGTCCTGAGTTACTTCCCATCTTATATTTTTAGCTGCATATACATTATAATTTAAAAAGATATTATATTATGATTGTTTAAATATTAAGCTTTTATCCCTTCTTTATCCCCTTCTTTGCCATATGGGGAGGAAGAGGAGGAGGGGAGAGGTACAATCAAACATATCTTAATTATTTATCTTAAATCACTCACATAAACAAATAACTAATGATAATGATTTTAACAAATGATTTTTTTTTTTCACTTTCGGAGGGTGGAGCAGAATGCCCTTCTTCCCATAGATACACTAGTGTCCTAAACTACAAACAAGTGCCCAGGGATCTGTTTTTCCTTGATTATGTAAATAAAGTTATGAAAAAATAAATTTCAATGCAGTCAACTCCTTCATTCCTATAGGTATGTTAACCTTCAAGACTCAGGTGTCATGCTGAATGGAAAAATAAGTATTTTTAAATTTTATTAACCATTTTTAAAAACATTAAAAGAACCAAAATCCCTACAACTATGAAGTGTTTAGGGTCTTGTGCTCAGTAATTGAAAAGGAAGTACTTTATCTTGAGTTTTTAATTAGGCTCAAATGCCAGATTTTATATCACAAACCATTAAAGTGACAGTGCCCTATCTATCATATATCCCCCTATCTCAGGAGAATCTTCTTTATTTATTTATTTTTTTTATTTTCACTTACCTATATATGAAATATATTTATTGTACCTTTGATGATAGAAAAGGTTATAAATTTCCTGTTGTAGCCATAATATAAAATATCTCACTTGCTGAGCTACTCCACTTCTTGAGTACCCAATGGTTTTAGTATTTTTGTAATTTTTAAAGGAAATGTTGAAAAGATAATTCAAACAACTTGTAGATATGTATATAAGGCCTTGCAAATTTTATGTTTCATTTCTATTTTATTATTTTGAAACAAAAGTTCCATGAAAAATACTGGATTCTATGAATATCTTGCCAGTAAGTTGTATAAATCTGATAGAATATGAGGAAATATAATTTTTTTTTCTCCCCTGAATTTCATATTTCATCTTTTCAGATTTCATACTAAATGAGCCTTATAATGAAAAAAAAGGTCAAAACTATAAGTATTGTGAATTTCTGACTTATTCATCATTTTAGAATTGTGTGTTTATCTATCTTTTACATCACTTCTGGCTGTTGTTTTTAATTTGCTGGTTTATGTTAAAGAACTGCGCTGGGTAGTACAAGGCTGGAACTAGAATTTTTGCCTGGATAGGTTGGATTAATTTTGCAGATCCATCTTTTACCTACCGTGGCCACCCAAATAAAAGGCAATATTTTTGTATTGTATCCAGCCCACCACAAGAAGAAGAATAGTGACGGCAACAGGAAGAAGACAGCACAAAACTAAGAGCTCTTAACACTAGTGAATTATTGCTGCCGAATCCCGAATTGCCATTAGCAAGGAAGGGAAGAGAAAAAAAAAATATGCTGTGGTAGGCGGATCACACAACTTTCACTTACCACTCTAATTTTGAAGAACTTAAATAATCTGCTTAAGTAGTGCTAGTTATTATTTAATTATTTAAATTTATTACTGGGTCTATAGACATTACCATATGTTTTTGCAACATGATGAAGAGGGGAGAACCAATCCGCTTTGTGGGCCTACAGATCCTTTTTGCCAGCCCCAAATAAAATATGATGTGCCACTGGGCTCTATTTATCCTCCATCTCGAATCTTTTGGTTTTTCTATCATCCATAACATTTAAGCCTTTTTTTTTCCTCACTTCCCTCTGTACTGTATAAATTCATGAGTCAGATATCAATGTTCTAAAATCATTATCTTAACCATTATGTTATACATATATTTCTTTTTTTATTTCTGGTGATTCATTCTGAATTTCATGAATATTTCTCCTACATTTCTTGTGGCTTTTATTTTTATATTTTTCATTTTTAATGCATACTTTTTTATTTGACTTTTACAACACTTGTCGTATGTCATCAATAAAAATAAGTCTTTGCCATCTTCTTCTTTCCTGCCAATCTTCTTCATGCATACCTCTGTTCATCATTCCTTCCTTAACTCCCTCATATCAGGTTCTTCTCGGATGACCTTTCTTTCGTCTTTTCGTTTTCCAATTCCAAATTTGCTTAGGCCATCGCCCCTCTGTCATCCTCACAACATAACCATTCATAGTTTTAATGGTATGGAGGATGTTCTCCATTCGTTCTAATCGTTTCCTTATTTAACTCTTTGGAACTTTTTGAAGGTGAGAGACATCAAATAATCGCCTCCTTCTTCTTCGTCTTCCTTACAATGCCATTTCTAGCATCGAGGAGCCTCTATCCAGTGCATCCACTCTTCCCGGCCTCTGCTTAACCGCTTCATTTGGTTGAAGGGTTTGCCCTTTCTACCTCCGATCCTCTTCATGAACTCCTGATATGAAACCCTGGGATGCCCTTATGGTCTCTTCCCTGTGGGTCGTGTCTCTAATATCTTTATAGAATCCATGTACACATGGAAGGGTTCATGCGGCAGATATGTCCAAACCACTTTAGTTGCCTGTTCTCCAAAGTTGTTTGAGCTCAGGCACTTTCAACTGTTCTGTAATAGTTTCAAATAATCGCCTCCAATAGTCCATTTCTTGGGCTAACAATCTTTTTGATTGACTCTCTTTAATTTTCCACGATTTGGCTGCATAGAGAGCCACACTTTCCAGGAACAACATATAAATAATTTTTTGTTTTTAAGGACACTGATTTACTTCACAAAACCGAAATTAACGTCCTGATGATTATTTTTCCATTGCTTATTCTCTTTTCAATGTCTGATGTTCCTGTCTTATTCACCCAGCTTCCTAGGTACTTAAATTGAGCTTCAGGTTTTGTCTATTTGAACATATTCACTTTGGCTATTAAAGGCCATATATACGTTTTTTTCTTTGCTGACTTTCAGCTCCCAGTTTGACTATTTCTGGAGAATTGTTCTTATAATATATTCTACATCTGCTCCTGAAGTGATGAGCACCTAGTAATCAGCCAAGTGGAGATTGAATAGACAATCATTTCCAATCTTCATTCCCACACCTCTACATTTTTTCATCCATTCTCTTAGAGCCCTTTCTACATAAATGTAATGTTTCATTCCATACATTTTTTAATAATTAGAGATTGTTAATTATTTTAAATGAACAAAATTAAAAATTGTTTTTTGGAAAAAAAGTTGAAATTTGTTCAATGAGTATAAGACGTAACTGATATTTAAACCTCGTAATTGTACATTGATCTAACAATTTTAATCAATATCGGTAGAGACCTTTTCGAGAAATTTGTAATAAAGCGTAAAATAATGTATAAAGTGGCAATAATGGTAATTCGATTTCTACTGAAAAAGTTTCTGTAACATCTCTGGTGTTATACCTACCTGAAATAGGTAATGTTTGTTTCGTTATTTTGTTTGTTTTTAAGCGAGGGTGCACACTAACACGTTTATCAAATTTTATGAGACTTGGTTATTTGGATTCTAGTTCGATTTCGTTTTTTTACGTTCGCAATACTTTGCCTTACCTTATTTATGTTAGACAAAGTTGGTAGGTCACATTGACGCTTCCTTCCCCATGTAATACTATTTCGTTTTCACTTCGACATGGGGCCCTTTGCCATGCCTCGCCTGCGTCAACTCTCTTTTGCGAGCTATAGGTCGGAGCCCCTGCAGACTTACGGGAGACGATAGGGAAAAATCCCGAAAATGGGAGGGAAACATTCCCCATAAGAGGGAATTCGCCCTTGGTCCAGAGGAGATCAATACCGTAGCACGGTGTAGCCACACTCGAGCCCTCCCTTTGTAGTGGGACCGCTGCCATTACTTACTCACCCGAACAATAAGACCAAGAAATAGATTCGATTCTCACGACCTATTCTTAATAAAGAACCTGTCTTCTTTCCTTTTCCTTTTACATTTTTCCAAGAAAATTATGTTGTCATTCCATTTCTTCAAGTACCTAATATTATCTTGTTTTCTTCCCGAAATAGACCTTATGGAATAGACCGTACTACTTTTAAATTAATACACGATTCAATTCACAATAAGATGAATTCGAATTTGACGTTATCGTTTTTGTTTGTTGGGAAAATTGAAAACAAAAATAACCTGTAAGTAAACAATTCATGTAAGAGTGGAGTATATACATTTAGAAATAAATAAAGTAAACGACATCACATAACTAAAAGGGATGAATTGAAATTCAATAAAACATGTTCTCTGGATCTCACGTGTTCACTTCTCTAGGAACCAGGCCATATCAAACGATCCCGAATCACTCCAAGCATTCAAACTGAAATTTGTTGACCAAACCTCAATTTCTAAAATTTCCCCTGTGGTTTTATGTGTTAGAATTTTTATTTTTTACATGTTTGTACCCTGAGGTGCCCAAATGGGAGTTTTATGGCACAAGCTGCTC